CAAATTTCCATCATATTTGTATGGTATTTAAATGAAATTTTAAATTAGATGAAGGCGCGATTAACAGCTATTATTGATTTACCACCAATTGCATATGAAAAAAGTTTTTCTGAAAGACTTTTGTGCGAGAATAGCAGTAATCTTTCAAATTGTCTTTCGTGCTATCTTTCACACATCTTCTGAAATACTTTTAACTATCTTTGCCAGAATTGTCTCGTAAGTTTACGACAACAGAAGACGTGATTACTAAGCAGGCATTATTAAACCAAACATTCGGTAATCCACGAGGAATAGTAACCAACAAAAGGATTACTGTATTTACCTCAAATGCATTCACAGATTACAACGCCGCAAAGCATGTTCAACACACACTGCTAAAAATCATATTACGGTCTTTATCAACATCTGTATGAAGTGATTATTAACGCCTTTGTAATGTTACGGTCTTTGCTATCAAGATTATATCGGTGTGTTTGGATTCGCACAAAACAAAGATAATGGAATAAGAAATATACATACAGCAGATATGCTTCTGAATGCTTACAGTTCTCTACATTCCAGTTTAGTACATACTTGAACCATTATAAATGTGTAGAAATCTCGTACACTGTCATGCGATCGCATTCCAGTTAAGTTTCTACTCAAACCAAGTATAGACAAACCAAGCAGTTTTAAAGTTATTGCTAACTCATTGCAGTTAGTTTTAAAGTCACAAACTGATGTTGTTTAAAATGTCAGAACGTTTTTCCTTATACTGAAATACTGAAAATAATATGAGAAACCAGTAAGCAACGATATCGACTTTTATCGCTAATGCAACGGAATTCATGTGTAAATGCACAATGGAAGCCATCTTAATTTGTGTACAGACAGTTTCGTAGCCAGAAATAAACTTCTGCTGGGGCTGAATATTTAGATTTGTAATTTAAATAAACTTTTTATCTTTTTAAATACTGATGAAGCATTAATAATATATTAATAAGTATATTGCTTTAGTTTCATTTTAGGAATAGCTTCGGTCTCTTAAGTCTTCCTCTGGTTATTTATTTGCCCTTAAATGTATAAATTTGTATATATAAAAATATTTGCAAGCTTTTTTAATTAAAAACTTTAAAATACTTCGGATATTTATATTTAATATAATTTATATTTCATACATAAGAAGCTATTGTTCTTAATACAAATTGTTTTATTTTTTATTCTTTTATATTTACGACAAAATCAAATTTGTCTTATTATAAAACAAATAAATCAGTTTTATAGTTGTTAGAATGGATCGTATTCATAAGTATGTAAATTCTATTAATTAATTTTTGTATTAACATTTTAACACATTATATGAACATTTCAGGAATATATTTTACATAAGAAACTTTTAAATAAAGCAATGAACAAGTATACAATTATATACAATAGAACCATTAAAATCATAGAATCATTAACTATTTTATTTCATTTTAGAAATGATTATTTTACAGCAGTAACAAAACTATTACATTTTTAATTAATTTTTTCATTTTAAAAATTTAATTTTTATATTTATTAACAAAAACTTAACATTAATTTTAAATTAATAAAATAAAATAATAACTTTGAAAACTACATTTTTACTTGCTTTCTTCTTTCATTCATTCTTTCCTTTTGTTCGAGAACGCATTTAACTACGCAGAAACCAATCCATAAGCAAGCAAAAACAGAAATCGTTTTAAATATATTTCCCCTAAAAGTGTGGAAATTCATTATTTACTACCAATGCTAGAGAGCGTATAAATATACGGTCTCTTCCAACACTTCCACATCGTTCGGCTTTTGAAGCTTTCCACCCACCGCAAAAAAAAAAAAACACACCATCACATAGTTTCCAACACAAATTTATTTCTTTTGAAGGTGTATAATTGCTTTATTTTAACCAATGCTATGGAGAGTGTATAAAAATACGATCTCTTTCAACACCGCCACATATTTCTACTTAAGGTGGGGAAACTCATTATTTTCTAACAATATACGGTCTCTTCCAACACTTCCACATGGTCTCTAACATAGCAAAACCTACTTTTAACAAATAACGTAAATTTGTTTAGTTTACTTTATTCCAATTCCGTAGAAATAATATAGTTTTTGCTTTTACTTCAACAAATTTTCTGCACAATTGCAAAAATAAACACTTTGAATACTTGCAGAATGAAGAATGAAGTGAAGATCATTCATGTGTGTATTATCCATGTTAGTAGGGTTTATAACCACTTTTACAAAAAATGTTTCATTTTGCTTTTATTCAACGCGTGGCCTTTATTGAGCTACTACTTAGGAATAGCGTGTGCCACAACCCGTTATTTTTCAATTAATCTTTTTGTTTAATTTTGAATGTGTTCTCTATTTGATTAGCTGTTTAGGTATAGCATATATCAAAACCCATTGTTTTTGAAATAACCTTTTTTATATATGTGTTCTCCATTTGATTTGCCGCTTAGGTATAGCTTATGTCACAACCCATTGTTTTACAACTGAAATTTTTTGTTGGAATTTAGTTTTTGCTTGATGTGCTACTTAGGAATAGCATGTATCACAACCCATTTTTTTTTCAACTTATGTGTATTCTATATTATTTGTTCAAACAGAAAGCATAGATCTCAACCAGTTATTTTAACAGTTTCCATATTATAAGTACAGAAATATAACTTTACATAAGCATTTACATAAAATCCAAATGTATATTACTTTAACATATTAACATTCCCCTATGTTTACAGTTTTGATCCGTCTTAATTTAACATTGCAGACATATTAACATTGCAGTATCAAATATCAATTGCCGCCAACAGTTCTGTAAAGCATATGTTCTTAACATCAATGTCTGTTATACCCCTTTAATAACATTCTTTTATATTAAACATTTTCCTATTTGACATATATTTGTCAACTAGCCATTATGAAATACATCTAACATTTGCAGTTATGATACGTACATTGTGTTCTTTAACATTAACATTAAGATTAACGTTAACATAAAATGTACAATAACGTGTTTAATGTTTTGAATGATCCACACTTTCCCCAACACGAGTGCGCTCTTAATATTTGTCTTATACTTCCTTCTTCTTCCTTTTTTGGCTCTCTTTTGCTTTTGTCGGTTAAAAATTTTTGAGTTGAGTAGTTTTTAGTTATTGTACAGGCGGCTGTATTAAGCGGTTGTTAAGAAGAAATTAGCAGATAAAATCGTGTTTAATGCATTTTAATTGAATAAATATTTTAAGAAAATGTGCAAAATTAAACTTTAAAGTGTGTGGCTATTAATTATTATTTGAATTATTTATTATTTGAAA